CGTTTATGAGGACAGCTGCTGCAGCGTCATTGCACTGTATAGATGAAAGCGTTCGATTTTGTCAGTGTACACAGGCTTAATTTATACATGTATGCATCATTTCTGTGTGAATTGTGTATGTACAGATCATTTGCTGTCTGCTTGCGCACCGTGTGGTGGTGTGTATATACAGAAACGTGCAGATGTCAGCATAAAATGTATGTGTCGTTAATATTTTATATGTACCTACTGTGCATATTATGTGCGTGTGCAATGCTTGTATTCAGTTGGACTTTGACCAAATCTTTCCACTGCCCCTCAACCTGAAAACAAAGAAATTATTGACAAGGCATAAGACTCAGTCGGCATAGCATTTCTAGACTTCCTGTATTAAATCTCACATTTGAAAGCAGAACATTGGATGTAACTGAAATCAGAGGGACCCCCTCATCCACGGGACACGTACCCTTTGACCTTACTGGGTTTTTTCCCAGGGTGCCGTGTGGGATCGGGGGTCGCCATGGCGTCGCGGCTCTCCACCACCTGGTCCATCTCCTGGGCGGCCGAGGCAGCTGCGGCCTTCATGGTCTGCTTTAGGGAGCTCACCTACACATACGTACACAATGGCTTGTACAAACACAGGTGTCCCGTGTGACCCACATACAATGTTGGGGCAAGCGCTGTTATTACAAGCAGCGTTTTCACCCTCCGCACATATAATGTCTGGAAAAAGCAAACGGAATTCAAGATAAATAAACGGGAAATAAGAGTTGAAGGAATATATTAACGGGACGGGTCAGGAAACATGAGGATATGGAGGAAGAGGCTAAATAAGGACATTGAAGCTGCTTGCAGCAGGGTCTGCTTTGACTGGGTGGGGAGAGGGCAGGGATTGAGTGGGGGTGGCCACAAGAGGGATACAAGTAAGCACACCGACATGCGCCGGCATCTTGGAATTAACGCAATCATTGCATCGGCGATGGAAAACATCAGTGGCAAGTGGAATCTGCACCTGTCCTGAGCCTCCCTGAGGTTTACTTGGCCTTAAACGAATGGCGGAGGTGGTGTGTAAACAACAGCACTAAGCAGACAAAGGCAGCTAGCTTCGATTTTCTGGTCATACCACACCAGTGTATGCTGTACAGGCCTCAGTGGGTGCCCGCTAACGGTCTATATACTCGGGAGCTCTTGTCTTGATGCTGCTATGAATGCTGGCGAGTTATTACCCACCTCGTTCTCGATCTGTGCGCGCACTGCGATTTGGTTTTCCTTGGTGGAGTTGGCGCGCAGAATCTGAGCCTCGATGTTTAACAGAACAGCTTCACAACCATCACACCTAGAACAGAGCATTTTCAATTATTAATTATAACACGAATTTCAATACTGCTTATAATGTAAAGAACACCCGCATGTTAACCTCATTGCACTGGGTTGTTTTGATTGCACTCTTCATATATATGTGTACTCAAAGCACTTAAATATTAGCATTTTCTCAAAAGGTATTTTATACACACTTAAAAAGAATGGCATAATATTAGCATTAAATCTGCTTTATCTATGAAATATGGATAGACATATACAGCCGGTCCCCGCTTTTACGACAATGCATTCCTGGAAACCCCACCGTAAATATTTTTGCAACAGTAGAAACATCACTTGCCGATGTTTTTTTTTCCTTTTACCAGCCATATTTAACGGGGTTTAATCGATAGAAATCCATTAAAAAATACATTTGAGAACAACAAAAGCTCCATGCCAGGCAAGCCACATCGGAAAACCAGACTGACTGTTCAAATGTCCTCAGAGTCATTTCGTAAATCAAGTTTCTGCGTCGTAAATCGATCCATGGTGGTATATAAACCTCGTAAATATGGATCGTCGCACACCGGACCAGAGACTGCCTTACACACCCCCATAACCAACACGGCATGGGAAGCCCTTTATCCAGCAGTGGATTGACAAACGGGGGGGTTACATGGCCAAGCGGCGGCACATCTGGCGTTGTTCGAGTCTAGTGGCTGCTCTGGTTAACACTGTGGGTCTGTACTAACATTAAAGGTCCCATGACGTTATTCGGATCAGTAGACCATGTCATACCCGGCGTCAAAGTCCAACATTTCTAAATTATTCATAATCAACGTTTTTGGGTTAGCAGAGCCTCACCATTCTGGCAAATTGCCCGATGATGCTGGATGCAATTACCAGCGAAACGTCGTACTCAAAAATTGTAAATGTTGTGGTTTCACGCTTCAACACACCGGTGGGCTAAAGCAGTGAACTATTTGTCTTTTGTCAACGTGACACTTTTTTTTTTGCTGATTGGCCGTGTCGGGTGGTGGAGGGTTACGATACATTTATAAATAACGCGATCTAACCCAAAAACGTTGATTATGAATTTCTAAATTACCCACAAATTACTTGCTTGGAAAACGCCACATAGCAACATCTCTCCCTGCTGGCAAATGAATGCCCATTTCAGGCTGGAACTGCATACACATCTTGCGCTGCACAGGGAGAGCTGAAACTGGGGGGTCCCATTGTATGTATGGCTAGATAAGACGAGAGCATTTGAACGGCTGAGATCAGATGTGGCGTGACGGGCGCTTTGATCTGCCCCAGCATCTAAGCAACGGCCCTTATAAACACAATTCCTTCTCCTTGCATGCGCGTGATCGCCACGTGCTCACCACTGCTGCAGGGTGTTGATGATGGCATTGGCGTCGCTGGCGCGCACGTCGCGTCCGATGCAGGTGTCCACCTCGAGCTGGCGCCGGCGCTGGTCCAGCTTGCCGTGCACGATGTCGGCGTAGATTGCCTCGATGATCACGTCCTCCAGGTGCCGCAGGTTCGTCAGGCCCAGCTCGCTGAGCAGCACGCCGTACGGGATGCACTGCACAGTGCCAAGATGCCGTCACACTGCCTTGAAACGGACTGTTGGTTTGCTCATTTTTGTTTAAGCAGGTGATAACCGAAAAGGCCAGGTGGCAAGAGTGATGTGGGTCACCAAAATGACAAGCAAAAGACGTTCAAGCACAGCAATGAAGGAAACAGAAATCTGAGCAAAGATAACTGTGTAACGGGAGAAAAAAAATTGCACAAACATGCATCAATGCTGGGGCGGTTGATATTAGCGAGCACCCGATTCAGGCCAGAACAGATGACAAACACACGGCATCAGCCAGTCACGAGGCAGGTCTAGTGGTGGTGCATGCACGTGATTCATCGCTTCAGAGAGCTGGTGGATTATACAATTTGTGAAAATCCCAGAGACCTACTGGGCTGCGAGGTGACCGGGTGAAGGCAGTACCAGAAGTAGGTTTGTGAACCCATCTTTGCGGATTTTTGAGTTATCCCCTTGTATGCATAGCTAGCTCTGATTACTCTGGTTTAAACCCACGTGCATAGCGCTCCATCTCAATACAGGCCCTCCTGAAAGAGCTATTTGAAACTCCGTGAGGTTTCCTGTATAACTTAATATTATGAAATGTGTACCATTCAACCACGCAATGCTCCACCGGGCTAATATTACTCTAAAAGTCCTTGAAGAGATGGAGCTCTGGTTGAGCGAGCCTTCATAAGATAAGTGGTTAAGTTAGTTCTTTGAATAAACCATTCAGATGCACTATTAAACTAAAATTAAACGAATCTGGATTTACACGAGGGGGGGTCTAGGGGACAGACTGTCATCCTTAAAACATAAAGCATCCAACCCAGTTGCACGCAGTTTGAAATAACCCAGCCGTGTTAACATGCAACAGTAGTCTCTGTTAGCAATGCATCTGTCAAACAAATCAACACACTCAAACGTAAATACGAAAAACCACATCACCTTCATCTTTGCAGCCAGGCTTACGATGGTTAAATGTCTCAGCTTGTTTTTCTGTGCTTCTGACAGATTCGGCAGATTCGATGAATTAGCTACAAAGACACACATCCGTGTAACAAATTAAATTAGGTGGTAGTTAAGTCATCACCGCACCTTCCCTCGGCCTAGATGCACAGCAAAGCTACATGAAGGGGGGGGGGGGATTACAGATGGGGTTGTAATGGAAGTCAGGCAGCTTGTGTGGAAAGATCACGTGGTCAAAATGTTAACTTATTGGGCTTGCAAATGGAGGCCACCCCCACAGATTATATGGAATCCATCATGTAGGATTATGAATAATTAGGGGAATTAGTGATCGGCCTCAAAGAAATGAGTTAAAACACGTGTGCAGTTCACATGCAATAGCTGCCTGTGCTAACAATGTCAAAAAAGTCAGTGATTTCTTGTTCAATGGGCATTGATGTAGTGCTGATATCCTGTTTACAGCCCTGAGCCAATGGTGGACATTCCTTATTTTTATAGCAACAAGAACATACCCATAGGACAACCACTGTCTTCTTACCAACAAAGTGGTACTCATTTTATTAACCTCAGAGGGATGATGGGCTCAGCTAATGCACAACTATTGGTTGAAATCACAACCAAGCGATTGTGAGCCACTCACTTTGCTCTGCTGAGCCACCTGGCTGGATTCATAATGTCAGATATTAGTAACAAGGGAAATGAGTATCGTCTAAATGCACTCTGTTATAAATCTACGTGCAGTCCTCATGAGTAAAACAATTACGCTGATAATGTAGACACAGCCAAAGTGGAGAAGTTTTACTAGCATCATTGTGCACTTAAATGCATGTAGCAAGTGTGCCTGTGTAAGCGCACGCACCAGTATAGTCCGAGTATGTTCCATATGCAAACAACTGTAGCAACTGGAAATGTGGAGCATGAGGTCCGTTGCTCAACTGTGGACAAATTTGAACAATTACATCAGTTAGCTGTTCATAGTCACTTAAAATATACAAACGTCATTGCAATATACCGATCACTGTGAGCACCAAAATCTCCCCTGTGTTTACAATATTCAGTGCACCACATGACATGTGCAAAATTAATTAACCATGAACACAATTAACCACGTTTTCCAAACTCTTTGGTTCTTTCGGTAAAGTCACGTAGGTAGAAAAAAAAAAAGATCATGACATTTCGATGGCCACACAAATAATCGTCCTCAGCTGGGGATTCCTGCACCTGCAGTCACGAAAGCTTCAAATCATGTTTTCCAAGTTGAAACCATTTATTCCAGTTTAACACGTAGACTATCGCGACCAATATCATATTTCCAAGTTTAAACCATTTATTCCAGATTAACGCGTAGGCTTTCGCGACCAATATCATCCATAATACAGGTTTTTTGGGTTAGATCGCGTAAATATCTGGCTGTCGCCTGATGAAGCTAGTTATAATTACTGGCGAAACGTCGTACTCAGATTGTAAATGTTGTGGCTTTGCTCCCCAACACACCGGTGTGCTGTACTAGTAACGAATTGCCACGTTCTGTTTACTTGACAAACTTTGCTAATGGGCAGTGTCGGGTGGTGGCTGGTTCAACGACACATTCATATATTTACGCAATTTAACCCCAAAAAAACTGTATTATGGCATTTATTCCAACGTACAGGAATCACCATTGCAAGAGTTGACTCCCGGAGATGACGTGTAGATGAGTGAGCGGTTCTCAACCAGTGGGTTGCGCTCACCTTGGTAGGGTGCTACCCACAGGTTTTGCCCCACGTGCTGGGAGCTTCCTCAGGAACTTAAATAAAACAGCCCCCCCCCCCCCCCCCCCCGAAGCTCCAAGCACATGGAAGCGAAACGCTGGACATCGTGCCGAACAACATACGGCAACAACCCGCAAACACACCCGACGGCTACGCGGCACGCCCCGTGAAAACCTACGTAGTAGTCGTAGGAGCACGAGAGCTCTCTCCCTGGCTGGCAAAGCCGCTCACTCACCTCCTGCACGCTGGGGACCTCGAGCAGCTCCCCGAACACGTACACTCCCGGCGCGTCCAGGGCTTGCTCGATGAGAGCGCAGAGCGCCACGCCTTGCGCCGAGCGAGCCAGCAGCACAAACTGCTCGATTGGCTTTCCCTCCATCTACACGCGCGCACACAAGCACACATATACCCCCGTGTAGCCTTAACAGACTGATGGGGCAAGTGCTGTTAGTGAGCACCTATGAAGGCTGGCACTGTGGCACACGAGGGGGTGGGTAGCCGCTTTTGTCTCCCGAACGGCGATGTCCACACACCGCACTGGGTACTCATTTGAGGCTGAGTTGACCTAGGGGAGGCCCAGGACCCGGTTCAGATAATCGTCACTGGTGTTGGCCGTGCGCGGGAATCGAACTCAGGAAGCCGGGTTTGAAACGCAGCGCGCTAACCGCTACACTCCCGCTCCCCTTACACACACACGTGCGTGTGTACAGCACAGGCACTCTCGTACGCTGTACGCACGTATATGGACAAATGGCAGATATTGTGAAATGCTGTAGTTTGAGGATTGGTGGCCTCAGTAGTTGGCGCACTGTACTATGAACACCATTACAACGTTCAGTTCCTGGCCACGGCTAAAGTCAGTGGCGAGTGTGTGACCATACTTCACAACTTGCGTCATGACAAGAGAGACCCAAAGACAGAAGATATTGACAACACAGTAATTCTAACTGACCCCAGATAAGTTCACGCTATCCACACTGTGTTCATCCACTACATTGCAGGTCATAACGCATTTATTTATGCTTCTTAGCTCGCAGTGTTCGCCTTTGGGATTCCCTCCATCGTCTAATTTACTACGTTCCTATAACAATGTTCAATTCAAGAAAGTATGAACTCTTATATATGATACATTCAGGAATGCTGTTGTTTTTTTGCCCACTTGATGCTTTAGGCCACTGGGTCTTTGGACAGGTGACCACCCAGCCTCATCCTACTAACCTCATGCCAACCTCACCCTCACCTCATGCCAACCTCACCCTCACCCCAACCACACCCCAACCTCACCCTCATCCTAACTTCACCCTGACTACATCCCAACCTCACCCTCACCTCATGCCAACCTCACCCTCACGCCAACCACACCCAACCTCACCCCAACCTCACCCCAACCTCACCCTCATCCTAACTTTACCCTGACTACATCCCAACCTCACCTCATGCCAACCTCACCCTCACCTCATCCCAGCCTCACCTCATCCCAACCTCACCCTCACCTCATCCTAACCTCACCCTCACCACATCCCAACCTCACCCTCACTACACCCCACCCTCACCACACCTCATCCCAACCTCACCCAACCACATCCTCATCACCATATCCCAACCTCACCCTGACCACATCCCAACCTCACCCCCACCAACCTTATCCTGACATCCTCAACTCACCTGATCCCGATCCCAACACGCTGCTGCTGCTCCTACCGATTCCTCGCTGCTGCTCTGGATAGGGGATCCGCTGCTGTGTCCTCAGGCGCCACAACTTCCAGGAGAGACACACGGGGGACACGAGGGGAGGGGGGCTCGTTAGACACGATGTGCACACGAGATAAGGGGAGCATGGAGGGGGGTATCACACGATATGAAGGTAACACGGGGGACACGGAGAGACGTGAGGCATGGCCACACGGGATACACAACACGCACAGCGGGGGCGGTGGGGAGCACAAGGGAGACGAGGAGACACTGGGGGGACACGAGAAGCAAGGAGGGTACAGGACGACATGGAGACACAGACACACACAGAGACACACACAGACACACACAGACACACACACAGACACAGGCACACACAGAGACACACACAGACACACACAGACACACACACACACAGAGACACACACACAGACACAGGCACACACACACACAGGCACACACAGACACACACACAGGCATACACACACAGGCACACACAGACACACACACACAGGCACACACACACAGACACACACACACAGACACACACAGGCACACACAGGCACACACACACAGGCACACACAGACACACACACAGACACACACAGACACACACACACCACAGACACAAACACACACACACAGACCCAGGCGTGTTCTCCCAGTCTCGCTACCCAGGACAGGTCACACGTCTCGTTACCCCCCCCCCCCCCGTTTGAGTGACTATGCAGATACGTTACCATTCTCGGCAGGTTACCATTCTCGTCAGGTTACCCGTCTCGTTACCCGTCAGGTTACCCGCCAGGTTACCCGTCTCGTTACCCGTCAGGCTTCTCGTCAGGTTACCAGTCTCGTAGTAGTACCCAGGTTACCCATCAGGTTACCCGTCTCGTTAGTCAGGTTACCCATCAGGTTACCCGTCTCGTTACCCATCAGGTTACCCATCAGGTTACCCGTCTCGTTAGTCAGGTTACCCATCAGGTTACCCGTCTCGTTACCCGTCTCGTTACCCATCAGGTTACCCATCAGGTTACCCATCAGGTTACCCGTCTCGTTACCCATCAGGTTACCCATCAGGTTACCCGTCTCGTTACCCGTCTCGTCAGGCAGCTCGAGTCGCTCGCTCCCTGCGAGGCTCCTCCCGTGTACAGTAGGTGTAGCGCGATTCCCCTGCACGTCGATTCGCAACTGCGATTCCGGAATCGATTCTTTTGCACTTTAAAGGTTCGGCGTAGAATCGACCGATTTTTTTAGTTTGCGGCGCGATCGCTCTCAAAGCCCCGTGGACAATCTTGTAGTAAACTCCAGGGTGCGTGCGTTGCGAAGATCGGGAACGTGGGTTGAGGCCGCCGGGTTCGCGTGAACACTGCACCCGCCACACACAGACTCGAAGCCTATCGTTAGTGGGTGGAGGGCAATCGATTCCGCAAGTGAATCGATTCTCCGAATGCTGATTTATAATTTTGTTATTTTAAAATAATCTTTCTCTCGGAGCTAAATGGGCACCGCCCAACGATCAAACTCTACTCGAAGCATAAACGCGAGCTCGCCAGTCGCGCGCAGTAAAAAAAAGAGAGACGTGGGAATCGATAATAATCGATAGCGGAATCGACGTTCGATTATCGGTATCGAAGGGGAGAATCTATTTCCGCTTCCGGTGACGTCACCGGTGCGACTCGAGCCGCCCGGCGGTGACACAAACATCGCCCCGCCCCCCTCACGCCGGCATTGTTGTTGTTGTTGCTGTTTGTTGTTATTGCTGTTGTTATTGCTGTTGTTATTGTTGTTGTTATTGTTGTTGCTGTTGTTATTGTTGTTGTTGTTATTGCTGTTGTTGTTGCTGTTGTTGTTATTGCTGTTTGTTATTGTTGTTGTGTTGTTGTTGTTATTGTTGTTGTTGCTAGTGTTGTTGTTATTGTTGTGTGGTTATTGTTGTTAGTGTTGTTATTGTTGTGGTTATTGTTGTTATTGTTGTTGCTAGTGTTGTTAGTGTTGTTATTGTTGTTATTGTTATTTTTTGTTATTGTTATCGTTGTTATTGTTGTTGGTATTGTTGGTATTGTTATTGTTGTTGGTATTGTTGGTGTTGTTATTGTTTTATTGTAGTTTTGTTGTAGTTTTTGTTATTGTTTCAGTTTCATTTATTTGCTATAGCCCTATACTCTGGCTTCTCCCCCCCTCTCTTATACAGCCTCGTGTTACATCAGCTCCCTTTGCCCACTGCTGCAGTTGTTTCTTGCTGTGGTTGTCCCACCTGATGAAGGACGCTTGTGTTGCGTCCGAAACGTCGTGATTTAATTTAATTCATTTTCTACCTACGTGACTTTACCGAAAGAACCAAAGAGTATGGATCCCTGCAGTCACGAAAACTTCAAATCTATAATGGTATAGCCCTGTGAGCCATTCGGCTCTTGAATCAGGTGCAACCGCAACAAACAAAAAATATGAACAAGAAAACATCTTAAAGTGACTAAGTGCAAACAGAAAAATCCAGGAAAAAACTGCTAAATATTCCAGAAAAAGCACCGTACACCAACGCTGTGTACAAAAATCCCAGTGGGATGCAAGTCAAACAACAACAACCACAAGACAACTTAGATTAAAGCCATCAGCATAACTCCGCACTACAACAAACAAACATGGCCAAACAAAAAAATGTTTTCGAAATCACCAAAATAAAGCCATAAAAGCAATGTTGTTGCTGACAGTAGCAGAGTATGGACACATAATAAGAATCGATGTTACCCTGTCTGGCAACTAAAACTGGAGGTGTTGAGATGATCAAACACCAAATAGAAACCTTTTGCAGGGGGGATCAAGTACTGCATTAAGCACACACAAGTACTGCATTAAGCACACACAAGTACTGCATTAAGCACACACAAGTACTGCATTAAGCACACACAAGTACTGCATTAAGCACACACAGTAGTTGCGATGAACATGCAAACACAGGCTCTGATACTGGGAGGAACCTTCTGGTTACACCAGCCCACAGGGGATTATTGTGTCCGTCCGTCCGTCGTGCAAGGAGGGGCTGGGTGGGGAGGGTGGGGCTGGGTGGGGAGGGAGGGGCTGGGTTGGGGGTGGGAGGGGTGGGGCTGGGTGGGGAGGGTGGGGCTGGGTGGGGAGGGAGGGGCTGGGTTGGGGGTGGGAGGGGTGGGGCTGGGTGGGGAGGGAGGGGCTGGGTGGGGAGGGAGGGGCTGGGTTGGGGTGGGAGGGGTGGGGCTGGGGGGGAGGGTGGGGCTGGGTGGGGAGGGAGGGGCTGGGTTGGGGGTGGGAGGGGTGGGGCTGGGTGGGGAGGGTGGGGCTGGGTGGGGAGGGAGGGGCTGGGGGGGGTGGAGGGGTGGGGCTGGGTGGGAGGGTGGGGCTGGGTGGGGAGGGAGGGGGGGTTGGGGGGGGGGGGTGGGGCTGGGGGGAGGGGGGGGCTGGGTTGGGGGTGGGAGGGGGGGGCTGGGTGGGGGGGAGGGGCTGGGTTGGGGCTGGGGGGGAGGGGCTGGTCACCCCGTGGTGCCCTTATAAAACTCCCCACCTACACACACACAACTACACACACAGCTACACAAACACAACTACACACACACACAGCTATACACACACACAGCTACACACACATAACTACACACACAGCTACACACACACAGCTCACACACAGCTACACACACACAACTACACACACAGCTACACACACACAACTACACACAGCTACACACACACACAACTACACACACACACAGCTATACACACACAGCTACACACACACAGCTACACACACACCAGCTACACACACCACAGCTACACACACACAGCTACACACACACACAGCTACACACACACACAACTATACACACACACAGCTACACACACACAGCTCACACACACAGCACGCACACACAGCTACACGCACACACAGCTACACGCACACACAGCTACACACACACACAGCTACACACCACACACAGCTACACACACACAGCTACACCACACACACACAGCTACACCACACACACAACTATACACACAACAGCTACAC